GTAAAGCCCTGCTTTACAGCCTTCTCCAAGCAGGTTACAGAGTCAGCCTACGTCCCCCAACAATCTGAGTCTTCTTTTTACCGACCTCGGAAGGATGTAAGGCTGAGACAACCTTGAGCCGGTTGGGATCGAACTCCTGGCAGTGGGCAGAGTCAGTCTGCAGTACTGCATTTCTAACCATTGTGCCACCACGGCTCCTACCCAGTTTCATTACCCAAACTAGGTAACATCATCAGTGCTGTTAGGTGTGTGTGTGTGTACGTGGAGTCACTCTCCATTTATATTCTAGTGGCTTGCCCTGTCAGTATTGATGGGGGGTGGACTTAGAGGTTCTTTTGTTGGTTTACTGTTTACTGTTGGCTTGTTTAGCAGTTCCTTGACTGAATGTTCCTATTCCTGTATAACTGGGAGGCAGCCAATCTTCTGGGCAGCCTAGAGTAGTTCCCTAAAGCTACAGTGCTTTCTTCCTGCCAGCAGGCCTGTTAAAAGTAGCAGGGACTCCTTTAATTTTAACTTTGGGAGTTGCCGAATTGTTGCAGTCTGTTTTCCTTGGACTGCAGATATTGCTGTGGTGGTTGGCTGTATCCCGGAAAAGACTCTAAATTGGCCCCAATCCTGTTACCCTTTCTTAAGGTCCTAAAATCATAGCTATGTTCTCATGCTTGAGATGCTGACTGTGTTAAGGGCCCCCGTTGCCTGGTTGTATTGCTAACTGGACAAGTAAGTTAGTTTAGCTTATTGATTAGCCCATAGGCCATATCAAAATACACAAGAGTTCCAAACACAAATGGTTAATAAAATCCTATAAAAAACAATTTAAAATGACATTGGAGCTAACTGGCCAAGTAGCTTGCTCCTATCTATATATAATCTGGATGTTTTTAGTGTTTTTGGTGTTTTAAAATGTTTTTAGCATTTTTGATTATAATGTGTTTTCTTGAATTGTATGCCTCCAAGAGTCATTGACTGAAATGGGCAGCTATAGAAAAGGAAGGGAGGAAGGAAGGCAGAAAGGAGGGAGGGAGGAAAGGAAGGAAGGAAGG